CAGTGGTTTCCAGATCAATGTCGACAATGACTGGGGTGTTTGTCCAACAGGCATGTGGCTTGCGAGGGTATGGCATCTGAGTGTGACTGAGATCCAGGCAGGTGGCGTCCTGATGTGTGATTCCCAAGTGTGAGTGAATCCAACATACATCACACAGGCAGAGATGCACCTGTCCCAGCAGGACAGGAGACCCGAGCAGGAGTGTGGCCTCATGAGGGCTTGGGGTGAGGAAAATTACCGTCCAAATAAACAACAGTGGACCTCCTGTGTAGTGTGTGACAAATGTCAGCAGGTGGCTGTCTCCAGGGGAGCATATGGGATGCTCCAGTGAGCATCACAAAGAAACTGACTGTTGGAGTCAGCAGGTGTGATGTGGGGACCCGGGTGGGGATCAGTGGTTTCCAGATCAATGTCGACAATGACTGGGGTGTTTGTCCAACAGGCATGTGGCTTCCGAGGGTATGGCATCTGAGTGTGACTGAGATCCAGGCAGGTGGCGTCCTGATGTGTGATTCCCAAGTGTGAGTGAATCCGCCTGTGTGAAGTGTGAGTGTGTTTGTGAGTTTGTGTGAATCCGTTGTGTGGTTTGTGAGGGTGTGTAAATCTGGATGTGTGATTTTAGAATGTGTGTGACTTCTAAGTGTATGTGAGTGTGACATCTATATGAGTCTCTGAAAGTTCTGCATGGTATGTCACATCCAAGTGAGTGTGCAGCTGGCTGCAGGAGAGTGAGGCTTCCAAATGTAGCCTGGGGAGCTGGCCACCTCTCAGGGAAAGTGTGTGAGAGCCATAGGTGTGTGCTTAATGTCAGGCGGCGTGAGGACAGCCAATGTAAGGGTGTGTGACAGCCAAGGGATGCTATAGGACAGGGAGTGAGTGTGCGTCACTCTCCACAAAAGCTGGCATCTGCTCAACAGTTACCTTCTGGAGCAACCCAGCCTCCTGGATACAGATCAACACCCTCTCACACCTATCCCTGAGGCAACAGGGGGTAGTGTCGCACATGTGGTATATGGAAGCAGGAAAGTGGGCCAGACTACACGGTCTTGCTGACTGCTTTTAGATATATGCCACCCCTCGCCTCTCCCTAGCCAGTGGCAGGAATTAGTAACCAAACACAGTATTCTTTTCCTCACTGAGCTCTTTGCTCACCTCACCCCTCACCTGGCCAGACCTCATGGTTCCAATGGCCAAATTCTGGAAGGGACAGGTCCTTGTATCTCCATCTTCCTTCCAAGCAAAACAGGTCATTTATGCCACCCCCCTCCCATCACCTCCCATGGCAGACACTGCCAGTCGACTATGATGATGTGCCACCTCCTGCCTCTTCATGATGGGTTCTGCCTCTGCCTAACCCTTTGCCCACAACCAATGTCTCTATGCTCATCTCATGTTTCCACAGACCGAAGAAGCCTCCCTTTGGGCCAAAACATAACACTCCTGCTGCTTTCTCTTCTCCCTCGCTCATGGCAACTTTGCTAATTAATCATGTGGCGTTCTGCCTCTGCCTAACCCTTTGCCCACAACCAATGTCTCTATGCTCATCTCATGTTTCCACTGACCGAAGAAGCCTCCCTTTGGGCCAAAACATAACACTCCTGCTGCTTTCTCTTCTCCCTCGCTCATGGCAACTTTGCTAATTAATCATGTGGCGTGCCCCTCTCTCCTTTTCTTGCTCATGACAGACACTGCAAGGAGAGTGGGATGTTCACTACCCCTCTACTCTCCCCGCCCTAGGCAGACATTGCTAATCCACCACACTCCTCCTTTCCTGAGACTGGAGAATACCTGTATCCTTCACCTGACCAGATTTCATGGCTCTACTAGCCAAATGCTTGGAGGAAGCATTAACCTATGGTGCTTCAGTCTACTCCTTCTCTTCCCTTCCTTGACCATGGCAGACTTTGCTAACCAATCATGATGGGGGCCACCTCTCTCCTTACCCTGAACCACAGCAGACATTGCTAACTGATCATAACCTGTGCTGCCTTTCTGCTACCTCTTACCCATAGCAGACATGGCTAACCAATCATGATCCGTGCCTCTGCCTTCCTATCCCTTGCCCATGGCAGACAGTGCTAACTGATCACGATGTGTTCCACCTTGCTCAGACAGTGCGAATCAATCACGGTGTGTACCACCTCTCGTTTCTATCCCTTGCCCACATCAGACAGCACTAACTGATTCTGATGCCCCTTCCCACTGAGCCCAGGGCTCACCTGTGCCCTTCACCTGGAAGTCAGTGCGGCGCTGCAGCGTGGATGGTAGTTCATTCAGCCGTAGGCTCAGCTGTCGTTTGAAAGGTGAGTTTTTCTGGCTGAGTGCTGGGAACCCACGGAAGGAGCCCTGGCGAACAAGCTGCTCCAGTGGGGCATGGCGGCGGGGGATGGCAGCCCCAGTGGTACCTGCAGCCACTGGGGTACCTGCCTCACCCTTCTCACCAGGGGATGTGGTGGCTGGTGTTGGGGACACGTGCCCAGGCTGGGCAGGGCCAGGAGCCACAGTGGGGGCAGCTGCTGCCTCTGCTGGAGACATGGGGGGACAGGTGGTTAGACACCTCACCATGGCATTTGAGGCCTCTCTTCATCCTCTGGGAAGCTTCCCAGATTGTTCCAGCCCCTCAGCCCAGGTTCCCTCCATTCTGGAACTGATCTCTGTCCTCCAGGGGGGTGGGTGGGAGGGGAACTTGGTCTCCCCACCTAGCACGAGAAGCAGGCTGTTCAAAGGGAGGATCCACTCACCCCTGCCAACCCACAAACATACACCCATCCTCCAACTGGGGCCTCACTCAAGCCACAGCCTGAATGCCAGGGAGATTAAACTCAGGCCCAGAGAGACCCCTAGGAGGATGTCACCCAGTGCAGCTTCTCCCATCTTCTAGGTTGAGGCTACGAGGGGCCCACCCAGGCCTGGCCCGGGGCAGTGGAAACAGGCCAGGACAATTTAAAACTGGGAAACTACCTCTGCCCCTGCCTACTGTATGACCTCAGGAAGTCCCCTCCCCTCTCTGGGCTCCAGCTTCCCAGCTGGAAACCTGGGCTAAATATCCCTACACTACCTTCCAAGGCCTCCTGAGGTCAGTTTAGGTAGTGAATATTAAAATCTTTGGAATCCAACAAAAGCTTGGTGAACGACTTTGTGGAAAATGCTGCTCTGTAATTCCTACACTGGAAAGACCTCTGTGTTAAAATGCAGTGCCCTGAGACTGTGATTGAGCACATTAATGACAAAACACTGTGTGACACTCATATGTTTGGCAAATCAGACCTCATTTTGTAAGCTCACATTTGGCTATGCAAACAGTAAAGTGCTTTCTACAATGCAAAGTCTGTGGAAATTAGAATATCCTTTGGAAATAGCAAAACCCTTTGCAAACTCAAAAGCACACTGTAATACCCTTTGTACATGACAACATTCTTCATAAATTCTAAGTTAGGCACACAGGAAAGAAATACTTGCAAACTGTGAAGAGCTACATGCCTGTTGTGTTCTTTATGAACAATAAAATACAATATACTCTATCATGCCCTTTGTCAACTTCACTCTGTAATCGGCTTTGCCCATGATAAAATTCTTTACAAATTCTAATAAATGATGTAAACATTAAAATACTTTGTAAGTTGTGAAGAACTTTGTAAAGAGGTTTGTAAATGGTCATGTAATTTACAAATAAAACATACTTTGTAAACTCTAATACTGTAGTAAGTAATAAAAATGTCTGTTTTCCTAACTTTTTATTTACAAATATGTTAAATTTAGAGAAAACTGTACGGTGTCGCGCCCGCACCGCGCTCAACCAGTGAGCGGACCAGTCTCTACATGGGATCCGAACCCTCAGCGGGAGCGCCGCTGCGCTCCCAAGCGCCGCACTCTACCGAGTGTGCCACCAGGCTGGCCCAGCATGTTTTCTTAATACATGTATTTTTCTGTACCATCAACCCTAAAACCACCAGCATGTACCTCCTAAGAATCATGACATTTTCCTACTGAACCACACAGTATAACTTGTCACTTGGGAAGTTTAACATGGATACAATACTATTATCCAATCTACAGTCCATTTTTTAATTTCCCTAACTGTCCAATTCATGTCCTCTATGGATTTTCTTTTTTTTTTTTTCTTACAATCCAGGATCCAGTGCAGGATCACATTGCATTTATTAGTACCTGCCAAGTCCCTTTAGACTCCTTTAATCTGGATCAGTTCCCAGTGGTAAATTCTTTGTAAATTCTAAGCAGTGTTTTCCCAAAATTTTAAAACTAGAATTCATAGTTAAAAATATTAAATTACATTGTGACTCAGCACATACATACAGTTATATTTTTAAAAACGCACTGTTTTAGAATTTACAGATTACTTACTATTTACCTAGAATGTTAGTTTACCAGGTATTTTTCAAACTTTCTTGATGATAACACAGAGTAGGATATTTCTTTAACGTGATAACTCCTTACACACACACACACACATGCACACACGCACACAATGAAATAAAAGTATCATTAAACTATATTTAAGCCCTACTACATTTGATGTACTCTGATATTTTCTATTTCGTTTTTTAAAATGCCAGCCACAATTCAGCAAACTGACTTCAGAGGTCTTGATCCACAGCTTGAAAAGCCCTGGGAACTGCCTGACTTGGCAGATAATAAAACGCTTGGTGAGCTTCGCCTGATCTGTAGCCTGCAGAATATTGCCCAAAGAACTGCTTAAACTGAGGTGTGCTTTATAAACTGTAACCAGGCTGGTGGTTACTCAGTTGGTTAGAACTTGGTGTTTCACCACCAAGGTTAAGGGTAAAGATCACTGTACCGGCCAGCCACAAAACAACAAACAAGCAAACAAAAAACAAAAAAAACTGTAACCAAACTTTGTGGTTGGCACCCTCTTTCTAAACTGTAGAGTTCTGTACCTCTGCAGCTCTCTCCCAGAACTGGGTCCCTGGCCCCACCTGTGCCCCCTTTGTGCCTAGCCCGACCTTCTGGGTTGCACCCACCTTTCTTTTTGTCTGGGGCCTCTCGCTCAGCTGGTCGCCCACCCCCAGACAGGCGAAAGGAGCCCTCGCGGGCGAAGCTAGTGCGGCTGGCGTCGAAGGCAGCCGTGACCCCACATTCCTTCTCCCGGCGCTGTTTTCGCTCCAGGCAGGCAGCAAAAGCACAGCCCACTGCGTGGCTCAGCCGTTCGCCCTGGGGGGAGAGGTTGGGGGAGGGGGCTAGAGACACTGTGTTGTGCAGATTGGACACCAGGAGTCCTGGGTTCCAGCTGCTAGGTGCTGGGGGACCCCAAATGCGTCCCTTCACTTCTCTGGGCCTCAGTGCTCATGTGCACCATGAGGAAGGGTTGCAAATGACAGCCCTGAGTGAAAGAGCAGAGACAAATGAATACCTACTGTGTGGCTCCACTTATGTGAAATTCTAGAAGAGGCAAAACTAATCTATGGTGAATAGAATCAGAACACTGGTCATTTCTTAGGGGATGGGGGTGGGGAGTGACTGGAAAGGGGCATGAAGGGACATTCTGCAATGGTGGCAATGTTCTAGATCTTGACGGGGTTTAGGACAGGTGTATGCAGTTGTCAAAATTCAGTGAATGTACACTGAAGGTTTGTGCAACAGCATTACTATGGACTGAATGTTTGTGTCGTCCCACTAACCCTGCCAACTCCCAAATTCATATGTTGAAGCCTTAATCTCTAATGTGATGGTATTCGGAGGTGGGGCCTGTGGGACATAATTAGTTATATTAGGTCATGAAGGTGAGGCCCTCATGATGGGATTAATGCCCTTATATGAGATCTCTCCCCCACTCCCCGCCATGTGAGGATACAGCAAGAAGGCCTCCATTTGCAAATCAAGAAGAGAGCCCTCACCAAGGACCCGATCATGCTGGCACCCTGATCTCAGGCTTCCAGCCTCCAGGACTCTGAGAAATATATGTTTGTGGTTTAAGCCACCCAGTCTATGGTATTTGGTTATAGCAACCTGAACAGACTAAGGCAAGCATGCATTTCACTTCAAAAGAATAAGATCTGGAAACAAATATGAATTCTACTTAATAGTATGCATGCTGAAGTGTTTAGGGGG